CCATACCATTAGAATTCTTGCATCGGCTTGAGTCCAACAGTGGTCATCTTGTTGTCTCCGTCATCGGCGTGTTGAGTGGTGAACAATAAGCAAAATTTTGACATAGCATAATTGAGCTCTCTGCCGTTCACCATGGTGAACCGAGCTAGGTAAGTTCCTTAAAACTCTTAGAAATAATTTTAGAAAAAAATTTTGTAATGTTTTCGAGCCAAATTAACCTTGCACGAGCCCCTACGTGCCGTTGCTACGCGTGGGGATTGTCCATGTCTGATGGACCTTCTAGAAGCAGGTCAAACCAACCCATTCAATCTGACCTGACCCATCATCTGATCCGCCCCGTTGACCCTTCTTGCCTAAAATCCAAATCGATCAGTTAGACAGGCCCAATAGAACCAGACTGAATTGATCCAACTGAATCGAACCTTATTGTTCCAACCAAATCGATCAAGCCATTGACCATTGATCGTTGACCATTAACTAGCATTGATTTTGACCATTGACCGACGTTGATTTTTTTAAAGCTTCCCTCTTGAGTTTTCTGACTTTCTAAGTCCGATTTTGTGGTCTGTTTTGCCAAATTTTGACTTGAAGGACCCGAAATAAGCTCGTTAATCCAAAAATTCTTAGTGTTTTTAACATTTTTGTATATCTATTTGGGATTTTACTATGCAATTGATCTGGGATTATATTTTTATGAAGGCACTCATGATTCCCCTTATATGAGGATGATTAGATCCGATACTTTTCGTCCAGATAATCAACTTGTTGCACATTATTCGAGATCTACTTGTAGGTTTCTATAAATAGTTGAATCAAAGTTTATTATTTTATGTTAGGATTTTGATATAGCTCTTCAGATTCGTAAGGTCTAACGCTACTGCCGATCATGATAGGCAGACCCAAGAGTTGGCTACCGTCCCAAACTTCTTAGATCGGTACATGTGTGTTCTTTTTGGTGTTACAAAATTGTTTTAAACTATATGTCTGTACAGTTTTGGAATTTAAATATGTTGACTACATGATATTTGTTTTACCGCATGTTTTGACTTATGATATCTGATTTACCGTATATTTCTGGCATGATCATTGATTACCGTATTTTTGTATCTAATTCTAAAAAAAATGAATGTTTTCATATTTTAAAGAATTAAATCGTTGTTTTCACTCAAATTCGTTTTGTACTACAGTGTTTACGTATTTTGTTTATGGACATGTTTTGTACAAACTTAATATATGTATAGGTTTACAATGCCCTCCCATTATTATCTCCGTATTTTATCGTTTTATATATTTTATTCATCGAAATGCATTTTAAGTGTGTTTTTTATCTAGAAATAATTTCTATATATGACATGTGACCGCTTAAATTTGGGCGTACCGCCAAGCTCGGGTCTAGAGGTTACAGACAATGCCTCTGAAGGATATATAATGAAGAATATAACACTTGTGTTTACTTAGTCGAAATAACTTTATACAATGACATAAATTAAGATTCTTTTTAAAAGATATACTATGGAAGGATATGGTGAGATAAATTTTGTAAATGATGCATTAAAGATGAGGTGATATAAAAGACAAAAAACTAAGCCAAAGACTTTCATGGGCCAAGTTAGTCAATTTTATAAATTTTTTGTACTAGTGGTATAAATTTTTCTTGCAAATAACTATAAACTCTAAACCTTAAATTTTAAAATATAATATTTTAAATCTTAACTGAGACGTAATAACAGTAAAACCCCAGTTGCGTAAAAAAGATTCTACTATGAACCAACAACTTTCCTTATTGTATATCTTAAGTTTAAATAGATAATTTATTATAAATAAAGATTGGAATCGAGCCGACTTATAGCGATGGAATCAAACAAATAAGCATACTTCTCAATCAAACGTCACTTTTAGGGAGTTAATTACAAACAAGATATGACGACGGAAGATACTTGGAAGACTCCATCAAGAAGGAAACTTTTTTTCCCTATAAAAAGTGGCCAAACTTTGATTTTTTTATTAGGTAAGATACTATTACATTTCTAAGATAAATATTCAAACTCAAACCTACATTCATGAGAAATTATTTTATAGACTCTTCCCGCCACGTTGTTTATAATCCTTATTAATTAAAAAAATCCACCTCGTTAATTTTTTTCCATGTCATTTATACATTAATATCATATTTTCTAAATCATCGTCTTCTCTAATAATACACTAAAACCAAAAGTAATAAGAGTTTATTTTTTATTATTAATCGCATTCCATTCTCTTCTCTAATAATATATATTAAATCTTTGATTAACGTCATTTGTTAATGCAAAATTATTCTATGAATCTTTTCCACCACGTCATTTATAGTCCCTGATAATTAAAAATCGATAAATTTTTATAATAGCAAAAGACGTTGATTAAAGATTTAATATAGATTATTAGAGAAGAGAATGGAATGCGATTAATAATAAAAAATAAACTCTAGTTACTTTTGGTTTTAGTGTATTATTAGAGAAGATGGTGATTTAGAAAATATAATATTAAATGACATGAAAAAAAATTAACGAGGTGGATTTTTTTAATTAGTAAGTATCATAAATGACGTGGTGAGAATGATCTATATAGGATAATTTCTTCACATTCGCATAAGGTGAAACAATATGAACATTTCTAATCACTACATTAATTAATGAATATCAGCCTAACCTTGAATTTAATTCATCAGGATTTGCAGTCCAACATCATAATCAAAGGTAATTTTTAGTTATAAATAGGTATATCTTTTGGAAATCCTATAATTTGAAGGTTATATTTTATTTATTAGTCAAATATATGGTGTTTAAGGGTGGGAACTTAGACGGTAGATCAAGAGAAATCTGCTAAATACACTCACTTTTAAGATTTAAAGACTACATTAATTGTACAACAAGAGTCGCCCGTCCAGCTCAGTTGGTAGAGTGCAAGACTCTTAACCTTGTGGTCGTGGGATCGAGTCCCACGGAGGGTAATTCATAATTCGGAGATCTACCACGGAAGCTCCTCTCAACCTAGTGTTGGGGGCAGCCTACTATCCTACCTCCCCTTACCCCATTACATATGGGAATAAGGGTTAGCTATATTAATTGTACAACAAGCCCATGTGGAAATTGCACGCCTTTTGTCAACATTTGGATTTTATAAGTTTAATTACTTATCGAATGGTTTTAGTAATAAAAGGGGTGATAGTTCTTGATTCGAGTAATTGTATCAATAAAATGTTTATGCTTTTATTAACGAGTTAAAAAAAATTGATGGACCGATATTAAAATGTTTATGCGTACAGATATTATATATCATAATCACCTCATGTGGGGAAAACCGAAAACCGAATTAAACGGGTCGGGTTTGGGGTGATAAACGGGGACGGGGACGGGTTTGGTAATCCCCGCCCCGATTACCCGCCCCGATTACCCGCCCGATACCCGACCCGATAAATATTAAAAATAATTATTATATATATATATATATATATATATATATATATATATATATATAATATTAATAAATTTAATTTAAATAAAAAAATATATTATATATTTAATTTAATATATATATATATATATATATATATATATACTCGGCCCGATTCTCGGCCTAATACCCGACCCAATACCCGGCCCAATACCGGTTTAAATAATCGTTTATGCTAAACGGGGATACCCGTTTCCCCGCGGTTTTTCCCGATTACCCGACGGGGATCCCCGTTTAAATCCCCGTGATTTTTTAAACGGGGACGGGGACGGGGGGACCAATACCCGACCCGAACCCGGCCCGTTGCCATCCCTACTCATGTGAAAACATTGATGGACCGAAGTCCAAAAGGGTTGGCGACGACAATTTATCCTTTAAAATTATTAAATTCTTGTCCGATTTAAATAATTTATATATTTTTATTGATAATTTATTTTCGTTCCTTAAAATATTATAAACTTATTTGCCTAAAATTTTAAAAATTTATCGGCCTTTAATGAAAATGTCTGCGATGCGTTGGAAACGCAATTGAATGTGTTTCCATTCCAATTTCCATGATTGATTAGGATCAGGATGGGCATGGAAACTTTTCCAAATCGTGGTTCGGTCCAGCCGCAGCGGCAGGAAGTTTCCTTGATCCGGTGCGTTTTGCTTCCAAGGATTGCATTTGTCAAGGTCTTTTTAGTCTTCTACTCACAGAATTTCCACGTTTTCATTTTATTTTATATCTCATTTTCAAATTAGTGGGTAGCAAACATTTTTTTATTAACTTTAAATATATTATTTAATAATTGTTTAAATCAGCCGTAATGTTTGCTATTTTCCCATGGAAAGGCCGATCAAATTTCTGAAGCAATCAAGTCTAACATATGATGTTCAACCTTGCAGCGCTATGAGCACAATACTTTCTTTTTCTTTTTTCTTTTTTTTATGGATTATTTTCTTTTATAAATGATAATGTTTTACAGAAAAATATAAAATAAACCAAACAACTAATTGCTCTAGTGGAATGAAATATTAGATCTCTTAAGTAATTATAAGGGTTTGAATCTTGGCCATTGCGAATGGAGTAAACTGTATTGGGAGTATCACCATTGACTCTAATGTACCCGATATAGATTAGTTGATTAATAAATTGAATATTAATGGTTATACCAAAAACTAATATAAAATGAATTTATATTGATTACCGTTAAACACGGATATATGTAAAAAACAATTGAATTAGTTCTCTTTAAAAATTTCAAATTATAATATATTTTAAATTCTTTTATTTATATTGTCTCTTGATAAATTATTTTTATTTCCTAAATTTTTATAAGTACATTCTCTTCAAAAAATTTAGAAGTTGAATTTCCTACATAAAATTATGTATGGTCTGTTCAATTAAAATTAATTAATTAATATATTATAGGGATAAAACCAATTGAATTATAAATTTTAAATTAATAGCTTAGGAATTCCCTGAAATTTCATTGATAGTCTCGTGTATCTATAACAAGCCAAAAACTTGCCTTCTATATATTATTTTCCTTTCTAACTTCCTCTGTTCTTCTCATTTCCAGAAATGGAAGGAATTGCAGCAGCTAATTTTGGCCGTCGTAAACTTATTCATCTGGTTTGTGCCCTTTTCTTCTCTAATTACTGTGATTTTCTTTAATTTTCCCCATAAAGAAAATGGGGGTTTAGAATGAAGGGAAAGCCGAATTTTCTATCCCACCAAATCATGTGAAGTTTTAAAACAGTCCAACAGTTTTTTATTTTCATTATCGAAAGGTGTTCGATGAAATACATAAGTGAAAAAAAACAAAGCAAAACATTTCAGGTGAGGCATGCGCAGGGCAAGCACAATCTGGAAGCAGAGAAGAGTCGAGATCCATTAACATCGTTTGACTATTTGGATGCTGAACTCTCTCCTCTAGGCTGGCAACAGGTCATTCATCAGAGTTGAATCAATTTTCCTTCCTAAAATGACACTTGTAGTGATTTTTTTTGTCTCTCTTTAATAGGTTCGTGATCAACGAAAAGATGTTTGTTCAACTGGATTGCTAAAGGGGATTGAAGTGGTGATTTCTTCGCCTATGTCAAGGTACCCAAAATTTTCTCATCTTTTGATCAAAGATGCCTTCAGTCTTGTATGAAATTTTGGGTTGATGTTTTCAGGACACTGCAAACAGCTGTTGGAATTTTTCACGGTGAAGACGGTGAAGATTCGACAATCGTCTGTCGGGCTCCGATTATAGCATATGAACTTTGCCGAGAACGACTGGTATGTTATCGACATCCAACTTAAACTAGGAGCTACCATAGATCAGGCAAGGATCACATGGCAGCCAAAAAGACATATGCCTTTATTATGGAAAGGTACCCTCGGGTCAGGAATAAAATCACAAACTGACATAAAATTTTATGACACAGAATACAAATTTAAAAAAATATATTAAAAATTTAAGAATATAAAACTATAAAATTTTAAGATGGTGAAATTAAATAATTAATAAAAATATTTATATATATGAATAATTAAAATTTTCAGGGATGGGACTTTAATCCTCAGCATCCTCTCAATCCATACCTTAACCAAACAGTTTTTGGATTTTGAAATTAGTCCTTTCTTTTTCTTTTTCTTTTTATTTTCATATTCCCCATTAAATAATCCATGTATCCACCCGTTAATCAAGCAAGTTTGGTCACGCGGTGTTCTCTTCACATGGAGGGCCACTCTTTGGTCAGGACCAAAGAAACCGGAAGGAAAAACAAAAGATGAGGCATGAAAGGGGGAAAAAACATTATTATATAAAATTATATATATATATATATATATATGTATATATTATTTTTAAGAGAAAATATTTGATGATTATATATAATTTTATATATATATATTTTTATAAAAGTGTATAATTTTTCTTATTATATTATACACATAAATAAAAATAAAATTAAACGAAGTTATTTTTAAAAAAATAGCCATATGTATTCATTAATATAAAATATTACACAAACAATATATTAACTATAATTTTTTTTATAAATTCAAGTATTTCAAATTCAAATTCAAATCTTTTCATTATATATAATATATTATATATTCACACAATCACCTAATAACGATGATTGAATTACGCTTGGGATGGGACACTTTTTAATAATATTTTAAATTTATGTTAATTTAAATATTTATTAAATTAATTCTTGAATTTTTTACTTTAGATTTAAACATTATTATATTTTATTAATTTTAAAAATTAAATAACATAATATTTTAATGTTTTATAAAAATTATGTCCCTATATATGAGTTGGTGTTTACCATAATCAAAGCAAGGGACAAAACAATTTGTAGCCATTGAACTTGACAAATTTTCTCAATTTAACCCATAAACTTTATTTTGATCCATATTAGTATTTAAACTTGATAATTTTTTAATTTAGTCTTTATATTTCATTTTAATCTACATTAGTCTCTAGACCTAGCAACTTTTCCAAATTTAGTTTGATAATTTGACATTTTGATAACGTGCCACATCATGGAAAGGACTAAAGTGCATCAAAAATTCAAATTTGAAGATAATATAGACAAATGAAAAAGTCAACAACCAAGTTAAAAGAATTACCAAATTCCAAAAGTAAAAATTATTTTATCCCTTAAAACAATTCTATCTTAATTTCAAACTGCTTTCTCTCAGATATAAAAAAATTATTATATTGAAAGCCTAATCATGATATTGTTGTGAGGTGCAGGGAAAATTTGAATGCGACAAAAGAAGGAGCATCAGCCATTACCGGTCCTGTTTCCCCGCTGTTGATTTTTCATTGGCAAGTGATACTTTTTGTTCTCTTGGTTTCCTCGGTGGCCTTCGGTTGCTGCATTCATCTCTTACGCCTTAGAATTGTTGGGCTGTTTCATTGATTTTATTTCCATCTAATAAGTAATTTAACAGTGCTTTAATGTTCAGATCGAAAATGAAGATGACGTTTTGTGGAAAGGCGGTGATCAAATAGAAACACACGAAGCAGTGAGAGCTAGGGCTATGAAGTTTACCCAATGGTGAGTCTGTTTTCCTCCCTCTAATTCAATGAAGATTAATTTGGTTAATTAATACCACGGACACGGTGAATTTATAAGATTTTAGAGATGAGAATAGATTATACAATATATATATATATATATATGATAATTTAAATTTTTTGAAAGAGACGACTGCTCTTATCGATCCATTCGTGTTTGTGCGTGTAATGAAATAAATGCATGGTGTTGTAGGTTGTGGGAGAGGGAAGAAAAGGAGATAGCAGTGGTGAGCCATGGAGTGTATTTGCAGCAGGCAATGATCGAACTTGTTAAAAATAATTTGTGTTACCCTTTACACAGTGATCCTCTCCCCCGGTCAGACTCATTTCCCTCTTTCATCTGCAAATTGGATTTGCTCTAAAATTTTTAATTATTGGAATTTGTTTTTGCAGCTTTAAAAATTGTGAAATCCGATCGGTGTTCCTTTTTTCTGAGAGGTGAGGCCATATCTTCTGCAATAAAAACGAAAAGTTTGTTGTTTCAGTGGAAGAATGAGAATCCCTTGTGACATTGAACAAATCCAAATCAAAGATTCTGCCGAAGAGGATGTTTTAGTGGAGGAACTAGAGGTCGCAAATTAATCAACAAAATTTGTCACTTCATCTCTTCTCTAACCAATGAAAACCACATTGTGTTTGGACCCAATAATTTCTGAATTTATCGTGTTCTAATCATATTTTAAATATCTAATTCTTTTTTAAATATATATTCATTTGTCGAAAGCATCATCAATAATGATTTATTAATTACATACCAAATAAATATGTTCATGACTATCATAAGTAAAATATAACAATGACCTAATGATAATTTGATAAGTGAAAGAGTGAACAGTTGAAGCAACGATATACAAAAATGGATCATTCCAACATCTTCGAACACCAAACATGGAGGAGAAAAATTTGAAGAATATCCAAAAACATAATAATGAAAAATTGATCTCCCCTTAATGACAATCTCATCCGACACAGATATCTGATAACCAACGAAACATCATATACAAAGAACAAATAAATCATACATCAGGAAAAAATCAACCACGAAATCATATATAATCACATACCTAAAAAAACCAATAAAGAAACTTGCACCAAATTCTAAAATCACCTATAACTATGATACTTTACTAAACAAAGGATAAAAAACACTGTTATAATTATATTAAAATATAATTGAAACTAATAAAATTAGATAATAATTAGCTGAAAAGAGGAAAAATGACATGGAGATGACCGTGAATAGGTACTACCACTGCCTGCGACCAACGGAAAGTAACATCTACAGATAAAAGTTTTATTTGGCGTCTAAATATATTTTTATATATTATAAGATGTATTTTTATATTTTATATTCAAGTAAAAACAAAAGTCAGACGTACGTCGGCCAAAATGCAACCAGTCATGTGTTTATTGGTTGTTGATTTTTCAAACAAAATTAATGATTTTGAGATAATTCAATAATAAAATTAAATGTTAAGGATTAAAGATTAAAAATAATAAAATATGCACAGTTTGGGAAACAAATGCTTCATTAAATCTTCTAATTACTATTTTCGTGATTTACTCATGTGAATTAATTAAGATAGCTGTTTATATAATAAAGAATGCCACGTCATGGTCGATAGTCGGTATTAATTTGATTAGGTATGGCCGACAAATCGTTATCGGCCGTCACCGTTATTTCCTGGGAAAGCAAAAGGTCACTTTTTATCGACGTTTATCTTGAAGTATTATAATATACGAATTTAACCATTTTTTTGTCAAAATGATCAATAAATTCGTAACTCAGTTTTTAATTTCGCAACGCGAATATGTAAATCGCATTGCGATTTTCCAAATTCGTAACGCGAAAGTCAAATTCGCAACGCAGAAGTCAAATTCGCAACGCGATAGTCAAATTCGCAACGCGAAACACAATATTAATTTCGCAACACAAATGTAAACAGTATTATCGCAAATCATCTCTAACCTAAAACCCTAAAGCACAACTCAGCCCCATATCTATCTCTCACTCTCTATGGCGACATCCGTCCCCATTTCCGACGAAATCCGTCCCCATTTCCAACGAAATCTGTCTATCTCCATCTCTCAGATCAACCATCGAATGTTAGTTTTTTTAATCTCTTATTTTTATTTTGAAATTTTTGTATTATTATTAGATTAACCATTTCACTGAGATTGCTAAATTCATTCAGTTGCTGTCAATACTGCTAAACTGTTTAGTCTTTAACCCTGTGAAGTTAGTATTTGTCTTTGTTTTGTCTTTTTGTTGAAGAAACCCTAAATCGCAACACCAAATTCGTAACGCGAAAATGAAAATCGCAATGCGAAACTAAAATCGCGTTGCGAATTTAAGTTTCAGAAACTTCTTTTATTCACCAATTTGAAACTTGAATGAATTGTATTACTTTAACCAAAAAACAAAGACAAATACTAACTTCACAGTGCTGCTAATTTAAGTTTCAAGAATAAACTACTACTCTTTATGTTGTCCTTGAACCTGCACTAAACTTATATGTTGTCCTTTTAAATGTTTATATAAGTGCTTACTTCTGGAATGTTATCTGATGCATTTTGTGAACTATGATGGAATAATGACTTGGGTGAATATCGTGCTAGTTTGAAATATATTTGGCTTTGTTTTCACTGTTTAATATCATGTCTGTTTATAGTGTATAATTTGTAGTTTTTGGTATATCTAACTTGGTATGTTTATTGTTTTTGTAGAAATTTTTTTCGGCTGCATTGATCTTAAGGAATAAATTAAGCCTAGCCACTAAAATTGCGTCAGCGCTTACACCTCTACAAAGAAAATTGTTTGAGGATACTTGCTTCGAGCCATGGCTGAAAGTGCAACATACGGGTAGAGATGCTATGTTGACACATTTGTTTCTTCAGACCATGACTAACGATATACCCGAGGGGGTACAACGTGGTGATGAGGAGATATGGTTTCATTTTCCTCCGGCACCGGCGTATACTTGTTTTGGGCGGGAGGAGTTTTTCTTAATCACCGGTCTACGCTTCGGACAGGATGATGTAGGTCGGTACACTAGTCATATCGCTTGCCCATCATGGTTATATCGGGTTTTTCCTGAGCTGGAAAAGTCGAAGTCGAGTATACACGTCGACGACTTGAAGAGATTATTTGATAAATATGGTTTTACTCGGATGGATGACTTTGATGTTGTCCGAGTATGCCATTTATTACTTTTTCATGCCGGCTTTTTAGGCAAAGAGGGCAGACAACCAATCTCTGAGGACCTAATATTATTGGTAGAGGACCTAAATGAATGGAACCTGTTTCCGTGGGGTTCATATCTATGGAAAGCTACCTGGAAGAAGTTGTCGTTTGACTTTGAGAACCGAAAAAGTTTGCGGGGCGATGGTTCTAAATACACTTTGACAGGCTTTACTTGGGCCTTTAAGGTAAGAATTTATATATTATAATGTTTCTAAAATTATAATTAATTATTTAACAATTACTAATGTTTGTGTATTATATTGTTTGTAGATTTGGATATTTGAGGCTTTCTCCAGCATGCGGACATATGCGATAAAAAGATCAAATGATATTCCTAGGGCTATTACCTGGAAGAGGATCCGCATGTTGGATTTGGAAGAGTTAATCCCATATACGACGATGAATGATGTAAGTTAACACACAAATACTACCATATAAACAAGTTATTACTAGTACAAGTTTAACTTTGTTTGAGCTTTTATATTGTTAGGTGGCCAACTATCCATTACAGAGGCTGACACCCACAGAGGCTGAGCTTGCCACTGATTGGTGGCAAGCTAGTAAGCGGTTTTTTGATGGGACGGATGATGAGCACCCCCACCTCGAGATCCATCACCTGATCGGGCCGATTTTACAGCTCGACACCCGGGGCCATCACCTGATCGAGCCTCTTCTCCACCTCTACCATCACCTATTCCATCACATCATCGAGCCTCTTCTCCACCATCACCTCATGATAGGCGACCGACAAAGAGGTCACGACATTTATCTCTCTGTTCTCCACCTCCACGGGATGAGTTAGGGGAATTACGTGATGAGGTCGGTGCTTTGCGTCATGAGGTCGATACTTTACGTGAAGATAATGGTGCATGGCGTGATGAGGTTCGATCTTTACATGGTGAGGTGGATTTTTTACGCGATGACAATGGTGCACTACGCGGTGAGGTATCTACCTTAAGTGATGAGGTTGCCGCTCTACGCGAGATTATTTCATTGTTACAGAATGAGGTTAATACTCTACGCAATGAGGTAAATTTGTTTAATACTATATTAAAAATGCAAATAACTTTTTTTCAGCATTATTTATTTATTTATTTATTTATTTATATATATATTAATTTATTTTCTGCGGCCCGATAAGGTAGATACTTTACGTCGGGGTTTTCTTATATGATGGGGTTCACGCATCAGATGTCGTGCACGTGCCATTACGTCTCCGTTCACCCCACTAGTGCCAAGACTCCGTAAGAATAAGCCCGATGCACTTATCATCATTCAAGAGGCGCCTCTTATCGTTCAAGAGACCCTTCTCATCATCGAATAAGCCCCTCCCACCATTGAAAAGGCCTCTGTCATCGTTCAAGTGGTCCTGCCCGCCGTTCAAGAGCCCGATTCATTTGGCGTCATATGTCGACATATTGATAAACCCCCTCCTGTGCCCGATATGATAGATGTGTGTTGGCTTTCGTATGAGTTACCGGCCAGTACCATTCCTCAGCAAGAGATGGAAACACTACCGGACACAATTACGGATAATACCCTTTGGGCTAAGACCACAGTTGATTTTTATCTACATGAGCGGAGCAAGGGGTGTTATTCTGACCTATGCCAAATCGACGATGCTATTCATTTGTTTCTTGATCGGTCTTGGTGGGGTATTTTATTAGGGGTTGAAGATAATGGCTTCCTCGAAGGGGGGTAAGTATTATATTCTTCTTATATTGCATTTTGATTAATTTTTTTTAAATTATTAATAAATTCACTAATATATTTATTTTTTTATAAAACAACATATTGATGCATGGGTGTAACATCTTCTAATAATAAGGAAATTGAAGAAAAGAGGTACTCGATGGACTATTATGCCAACGCCTTTTCACGCAGCTCACTTGAAGGATCAGAGAAATGCTTCATATAAGTTGGCTAATGGAAAAGCTAAACTTTATCATGCGTGGTGGGAGGTCGATAAGGTTAGTATTTATTTTTTTGAATATTTTAAAGGTTTTCATAAATTTTATTTGATGTGCATAATTATTTATGATTGTAGGTGTTTATCCCTGTTTTGGAACATCGTCATTGGCTTCTCGTCGAGCTTCAGCTCCCATCCCTGAAGACAATGGTATATGACAGCATGTTGAATTACATACAATTGTCTGATTTGAGAGATATTATTACAAAGAGATGGAGCGATCATTTGGCTAAATACTTTAATGCGATTGATTATTGGACAAAATCTGGAAACAAGAAGCCAAAGAAGTTCAAAATTACAATGATCAGAGACGAGACTGCGCCACAACAAACGCAGGGATCCAGAGGAGATTGTGGTCCTCTCGTATGCTTTTGCTTGGAACGTTTGACGACAGGAAGTATACAATATCTACATCCCACAGATAGAGATAGAGCTGCAGTAGGCTTGTGGTTTCGGTATTATATGGCCAGATCGATATATACGAGACGCTGC